GACACGCGAAAACATGATCCGACTAAGTCGAGCACGCGGCAATTAAAAATCAGCACTAAACCTTCTGAAAACGTGTGCAAAACATGTATAAGAAAATTCATATTAAAAACGCAATTTTCTTGACCATAATGTACGAAATGTACCTGAAATTCTTTGAAAGCTTCACTGCCACAGTTAAATTTCACGACTCGCAAAACGAGCGCAACATGATCAACGGGGGGTGACAACTCTAACAAAGGCTGTTTGGGCAGTCCTATGAATAACTTAATGTCCTCCCGGAAATTTCGTCGACCCTCCCGAATTTTTCGGTGGCATTCCCATAAATGTTTAACTTCCCAAAATTGTTTTAACAATTAAAATTAAAATTTTGATTAGCAGCTTCTTGTTAATTATGTAACTTGTTAATTATCTAAACGTAGTTATTTTTCGTTAGAGGGTATCATGTTAACACAGAAAGGCTGTCAAACTTTTTAAGTATATAAAATCGTGTTTTTTTGTTTTTTAATCACCGACGAATCAGGCGAGCGCTGAAGGGGCCAACCACTAGGGGGGTCTGGGGGCATGCTCCCCCAGCCGAAATTTTGAAATCTTGGTGCTCTGAAACGCCATTCCTAGTGTTCTGAGAGGACAAATTCTGTCCAAAATGTTCTCTAAATCAATTGTCCTTTTTATGCTTATTTTTATTGGCGTGACCTCGCGTAGAAGTTGTCGATATATTTTATACAAGTTGTGCGGTTTTTGAAATTGCTCTGGAAATCACTTTCAGCTAAGTATACTCTGTGTGGTGTCATTGTATGATGTATGAGTATCATAAGAATTCATTTGAAAATTTCAGAACAACTGTCGAAATCTGGAATTTTCCTATCCCGAACGCATATCGATCGAGATTCGGGATTTTCGAGCAAAATCGGAAGGTCCCCAACGAGATCAGGATGATTAAAGAGTCTTCACAGACATACTACTTTTTATGGCCTCATGTCCGTTTAACAAAGTTAAATGAGTTTCGTTTTTTTCTTACATACTTCTAACGTACTTTTTCAAGTTTTCCAGTATGCAATCAGTGGAATGTGCTCTTAAAACTCATCATTAACATGCAGCTTAAAAATACCCCTGAACTAATGTATGATGGGATCTGGTGTGAATTGATAGTATCTGCCTTGCACCGGTACGGTTCTTGTGTCAATCCGCTGGGGATTGCACGTGGTCAATCGCACTCGAACTTCATGCTATTTTAGTTGGAAACGTTTCTGATTGGTCTTTTCATATCATGGGGAGTTAAGCCGCTTTCAAGTGTCAAAATACATAGAATACAGTGTATCGGCACAGGGTGCATGTCACTGTATACATATTGTTTGATAACATGTAATATCAAATCTTTGTTCAATGTCCCGAAAATACCTCATATTTCCCGAAAAATTTCCCAGGTTTCCCGATTCCCGGCAAAATCTCCAGATTCCCGGAATAAATTTGTTTTTCTCCCGAAACAGCCCTTGTTAGAGCTGTCACCCCCGTATGATCAGATTCCTCGAAGGATCGAAGACAAATAGAAAGGCAAACAGTGAGCATTATTTTGATATTCTCTCTCCATCGATGTCTTTAATTAAACAGTGCAAGTTTTCAACCTCGCAAAGTGAAATTTAACGCAAAAATTCTTCGCGATTAGTTTTTTTTCCAAATTTCCGATCAAAACATCCAAAGTGCCTCTCGTTGGTTTACCTATGATGCTGCTAATCACAGGAAAAGAAAATGGCAAAACAAAGAGAAACCGCCAGTGGGGAAAAGATTTACTGTTGACGACATCTTCTGTTTATGGGACACACAAAAAAGATATAGACCTCTTCATTGAGAAAGCCAATGCTTACCACCCTACTCACATCAAGTTTTTTTTACTGATGAAATATCAGAAATAGACCTTGGACACAACAGTGTACAAAGAGGTGGGTCGTGCGTAGAATCCCCTCCCGCCCCCATTTTATCTGCACTGATATTAAAGTGTAGAAATAACGCATCACGAGGATTAAAATCCCGCGCTCACGTTTCAGGGAAATTTCCCAAGTAAAAGGACAGTGCATGGCAGGACCTGTTCAGAATGCCGCTGTCTGCAGAGTTAATGATGAGTTACTACAGTAATTAACGTTTAATATATAGTAGAGCCGATGTTTTGCTTTATGTGCCTCCCGCACAACTAGTGCAGAGAAGTAAGGGAGGCAGGTAAACATACAATAAAATGTAGGTGAAGGTAAACTAATGCTGACTGATAATAATACTCAAAAGGAACGTCATTTGACTTTCCCTTGTCTCAAACTTGACTTTGACCGTTTTCCGCCACGAGTACAGTCGAAACTCCATGTGCGACCACTTCTCGTAAGCGATCACCTCCGATAATTAAGCGAACGCCAATCCAAAACACCAATTTTTCCCCGTCAAAGCCTTACAGTTTGAACCTCTGGTAAACGACCATCTCCGTCGGGCCTGACGATTAGTAATTTTCCATTGTTTTTAAACTCTTGTAAGCGACCATTTGACGCATTCTCTGATCCGTCTATTTTCGCTGTGTGTACTATGTTACTTAGAATATACAGACAACTTCAGTGAGAACATGGAACTACACATATTCTAACTTAGACATTGCATGCAATAATTTATCTTCCATAAAGTAGATGTACCTGGGCCTCTCCTCGGAAGAGACTACCCTGTTACTGCCGTGAAACGTTCACAATAACCGGTGTTACGATAAAGGCGTTTAGAAAATTGAAAATGGCTTAGAACACGGTTTGTTAAACACTGGCTAAACTCCGTTTAAATAACCGGCCTTAAGTAAGTCTTTTTAGACCTTTAAAAACGTTCATTTGAAGGTTCACTGGCTTCACTGCAAAATTTGTTCTCAGCTAAAACTCCGTTTTCACGAAAAGAAAATTGTTGAAAGTCACGAATATCGCATAAAAAATTTTAAAGTTAACGTATCATGACAAGCAAACCACTCGCGGTTCACGAATTTTCATTTTGTATTTTCGCCTTTCACGAAATTAAAAGCACTTAATCCCGTATCACGCAATAACCCCTTTCACCTCCTCTACAAAGGAAGAACGGTTCGAGAAAGAACGAATCCTCGATGTGCGTACACATTTTAAACCTTGTACTGAAACATTTCAGTGCCACACTCCAACAGCTGTCACCCAGCATGCGTTTAACAAAGGTTTTGGCAAAGGAGAAGCTCTCAGGCTTCCTAGGAAAAACTCTTCAAAAGCTATGTTTGAGGGGAACGTTAGAAAATTTAAAACACGCCTTATCTCTAGACGATGCCCGAAATAAAAGGTGGGAAGGAAGCTCTCAAACAAAAATTGGAAACGCACAAAAAGATTCTACCCTTTGTCACACAATTTCAACCGTCATTGTACCAAACTTGAAAAACATACTTATGGACAAATGGCATTTAATACAAAACCAGCCGTTGCCCAGAGAGATATTCAGGGAGCCTCCCTTGATCTCTTATAGAAAAGGAAAATCGTTAAAAGATATGCTTGTTAAAGCAGAACTTTAAAAAGGCTTTGAAAGACACAATGGGCGCACAGCAGGAGTCGTGCTGGTCTGTCTAAACCCATTTTTAATATGAGAGTAAATGTTTACAACCTACCGTGTACGTAATGTGCACAACTGACAGAGTTTACACAACCGACAGAGTAAATGTTTACAACTGACTGAGTAAGTAATGTACACAACTGACAGAGTAGTTTGTACAACTTTACAACCGTCAGAGTAGTGCG